GCAGTACCGCCGGAGAAGTTATGAATAATCATGCAGGTCACATACGAACATGCATCCTATATGTAAACGAAATAGTAGGGGAGGCCACAATACTAAATGGGGATATACTCGAGCGTCGTGAAGACCTATTGAATTTTGAAGATCAGATGGTAGAAAGAAGAAAAAGGTTATATGATACATACCCTTTCACCGGTGAAACAAGCGTCTAGAAGCTTTCAAAAATGTAAAAAAAAGTCACATGGAAATACTCGAGCGCGGCTGATATTGATATTGTATATGCCCCTTGTGTATCTGATGACGGAAGAATGTTAATCTGTCGGTTTGCATGGTGGGTCTAGCCGTACGGATGGATTGAAAATGGGGGAAACAAAAATTTACTCGAGCGCGTAAGATATTCAGACGGGATGTTACGTGAGCCTAAACGAAGCTCAGATCCAAAAGTCTGCCGATTCGGACGCGACGCAAGCTCGTGATGGCTTTTTGCAAATGCAAAAAAAATGCGCGTCAGGTTTTCATACAGGCGGTTAAGCTTGATGCCCTGGTCATGCTGATCCATAATCTGACGAATATTCGGAGGGCTTTTCTTAATCTGACGGTTTACAGAAAATTTTCTCCGTTTTTTTTTCAAATAATTGAATGTGATAAATAAAATTCATAAAGAATAGCATGCAAATAAAAATAATCTGAAAATCTAATAAGGGTTTAATAAGGCCAAGATACACTCATTGTAAAAATTATGTTTCATCCAGAAGTTCAAGATTATCGTACGTTGTACTCGATCTTCTGAGAGTAGGTTTACTCCGACGATACTCCAAAACCATCTTGCATTTCCTTATTGTTTCCGATATAAATTTTACAATCGTTTGACATGTATTTTGTCCACAAAACACACACTTTATAATATTGTCACTCATCTTCGTGATAGTAAATATCTACTAACTCACAAAAATTCAAATAAAACAAACAAACCAGAGCGTTGTACATATAAAGTTAACGAGTGCTTTCCGTCTATCGATTTTTTTTACTATTCTGTTCGGCTGGTCTGCGCGCGCGGCACTACATGGAGAACTCAGATTCGGTAGAGGTACTCAACTAGATGTAAGGTATCTTCCCATATATTAATCTGCCGCGCTCGAGTAAATCCCCAAATCCCCTCTTTCGAGTAATTCGAGTTTAGAACGCAACATAGTGACATTTGGTTGACGATTTAGGTTATCAACCATTCATAGCCAAAACTCAATAAATGAAAAATACCAACTAATATTAATTATCAACTTATATTATAGTTTGTTTAAAAATGTTTGGTTTTTATTCTAGAATCAGCTGAGTGCTAAAAGTGTTCCGAAATTTTTTTGCAAACCGTACTTTTCAAGCGACATTTGACAGATGGAGGTCATTGGCTTTCCTATTCTTATTTGAATCGCATTATATGTACTTGCTACCAGTGAGGTTACTTTCTTTTGAAATAAGTGTGTCTCGTTGCTCGAGAATATTAGAGAACTTAAAACCCACTCTTTGGGACGCACTAGATACCAAGATCTTCTAGCATCGTATTGATCTTCCAATTTCTCAGCTATAAGAACAACATCATCGGCATATCAAAGATGTGTAAGGAACTACTCGCTAGTAATGTTAATGACACATGCGACAGAGAATATTATCAAGCTTCTGTTGTGGAAAGGGCGTGTGTCCTTTCCACTTCAGAAGCTTGAAAATATTCTCTATCGCAGCTGTGAACAGTTTCGGAGATATTACATTTCGCCTCGTAGCAGTGGCGCTAGGATTAGAATTCTGGTTCTGTGATCAGGCTAGCATCATAGTGGCCTTTTCGTAATGTATCTTGACACTTCGACATACCTGTAGTCTTCTTGGCACCATTTTAAAGAGAATGTAGAACTCCCCAGTGTTTAATTGAAAATAAAAATCATGTTAACTGTCTATGTAGAACCCGCTCCTGTTAAAATTGTAAAGACCTTTGGAGCGAAAAGCAAGAACACTAAAATAACCGGGTCTTTGATGTTTTTTTTAATCTGGATACAATATAAGTAAAACCTTAGTCTATGTATTGGTGCATAAACAGATCTTGCATTTTATTATAGCATATTTCACTGACACATACTAAAAACGAAAGTAACCAACCAGCCATCAAAATTAAAAAACAACCAGTATAGTGTTCTAATTTAATAGGTTCATTACGATTATTATCATCTCTTTTAATTGTAAAACTGGTAACGTAATCTTTATAAAATTTTCTCACAAATCCTGACTCCACAAGTCGCCGTAAAATTATGTTGATAGGGTTTGCCAACGGTGAAAATTTCTTGTAATATAGGACCGCAGGAGAAGTTATTATCCTTTGTGAAAGTATGTGCAGCAACAGATTATTTTCCTTTATTAAAGTTTTTGTCGTCTCTATGTTCATAGCGAGTACAAATTTCTTACCTTTCGCAATTTCAAATGCTGTTGGAATGATTTCATCGGTATTTAAAACTACCCAATTGTCATATAGTATTGGTTCATCAATGAAATAATCTCGTAAAGCGCCTCCACCTCCAAACGAATAATTTGCATTAAAGGCGTCTTCCAAAGTATTTATGTCTTCATAGTAAAAATTACCTTGTAGAGAGTTAATAAGATACACTTGATACAGGGTCCTGATCAGATAACAGTACCATATCCATAGTAAAGTTAAATTAAGGAATATTTGTTTTGTTGGCAATTTCGGGGAAGGTATCCCCATACAAATCATCCATATGTGGAAGATTATATCGTGCGTTTCATTGTTGTCATAAATCGGTGAGTGAATGAATATTCTATTCCAATTTAAATATTTGCTTTTGATTATCCATACAGATAATGTAACAATTATAAAAGTAATCCCTATTACAATTTCCGTTGGTGCTTGGAAAGGATGAAACAGCTTTAACGATGAAGGTTTCATTTGGGCGATGTGCATGACCCATACAACCTGCGATCGGTAATAACTAATGGACATCTCGAAATGTGTGAATCTAGCAAGTGTTATAGCAGCAGATGTCATCGAAAAGTTTGCGGTATCGTCTAGCAGGTCGCCGAGAGAACCTGACCAATTACCATCGTTCTCGAGTCGACCCCAGCCATTGCCATAACGTGGGGTCATCATTTTTAAAGTAGCATTCAATCCTTCAGCGATCAATTGCACTAAATCACCATCAATACCTTTAGGTATTCCATTACTTATACTCATATACAAAGTCTGTATAAACGTAGACACTATAAGAGGGCATTTGTGTAAATTTTTAAACTTTTCCGGGAAGTCATAAATTAAGGAGACCTCGTTGTTCTGTGGACAGACTAGTTGCATAGGTTTTCCGTAAACGCAATCATCACTGGGTTGGGACAATGTGTAGCCAACAACATGGCATTCTTCACTCTTAATGAATATCACATTTATTATCTTATAGTCCCAGAACATTTTAAAAGCTTTGGTTTCATTGCAATCGGGCAAAATTTCGGATTGGCAGACTATAATAAATTTACCGGTGTTATCGAAAACATGACGAGACATCCAATCCAGCATTTGGGCTACGTTCTCTATGTCGACACCAAAAAGGACGTATTGTTGAGTAGACTGGGCAAAATGAGGGTAGAATAGTCCTTTCCCAACTATATAGCTTTTATCATACAATCCGAGAAACCTTTCAACTCCGCTAAGTAAGGTGGAATTCAAAAGCACTAACGTAATGTATCTCCAATCGAAATTAAGGTACGCAATTCTTGCTGCTGTTTCGGCTAATTTATCACTGCAGGAGCGATTTGGTAAAAATGAATGTAAATCGTATTCAGCGTCAACTTGCATGATTCACGTTGTTTAACGACTGTTAGGTGTGGAAATCTATGTTGTAATGATATTTATCTTGATCTAGTCACGACAGAATGAATAATGGTGGCTCATGTCAATTTATGGATTCACGGTGGTTATTAGCTTTTTATAAATCATAAGCCAATATTTTACACATTGGTATGCATAAATAATCGTTGCACTGAAAAATACTGCTTTTTGCCGTCAAATTTCTACATTTGAAATTATATGTAGTTATTCCGCCTGATATTTTAAGGCATTGTAATAAAATCTTGAAAACAAGATGAAGTATAATTCCTTTAAAATACGTTCAACTGTTTTATGAAATAAGTAGCTTCCAGGTAACATAAGAATTTTATTCTAGTTGAAGAAAATACGAAGAGCTCGATTACAGTAGTGCGATTATCCAGTGCTTCTAGATTGCATTCTTAACTAAATACTAATAACCTCAAGCATAGCATGCTATAACGAAACGTCTCAAAACTGACACTGTCAACTGCTAGTTTATTCTTACGGTCAATATTTTAAACTGTGAAAGTGAAATTAAATTTACATATAGGCATATATCAAACTGTAATAAAATCTAATAGTGAGGTTTGTCCAGCCACGGAGGATAAAACAAAGAGGATTAGCCTTTATTCAATGTTACATAGCTTTTTCAATGTTGCAATAGTTCTAGCCACACACGCTACAGTCACGGTAATATGTGTTAATAATGGCCCTTTGGGGGTTTCGTACCTAACGATCCCCGGACCCACGGTCAGTGCCTTCCTTACCAATTTTTTTTTATTTGTGTCTGGAAAATACCATGACCATGATGTAACCGTTACGCAACGGAAATATGCACGCACAGGCTCCGTGGGCTCTTCCCTGTCCTATCATCAAGCCCCCAAGGCTCGATGAAACGGCAGCATACCCAGTAAAAACTAGATAATACTCCTGCACCTATCATCCGGCATGCACTATTAGGACCGAAGTCCCCCTAATACACGCCGGGTGAGCGGGGGTTGTTGCGGAATCATGCGTTAGTCCCTAACCCCTCGCCAACGACGCAGGAGTCGGCGCCCCCATCTCCCCGGCGCCTGTGTCTCCCGGTCCTCTCTCATAGGAGAGCCACAAGCGGCGCGTGGTGACTAGGGACATAGCCGAACAACGAGGGTCACTCAGACATTCCCCCGCCCGGGGGCGCCGGAGACTCAGCCACCTCACCCCCAGAGGACTTGCCACTGGTGGCAGGCGAGTCACATCGCCTACTCCTCATGACATGGCCAGATGATCGGCCCGTCCCCTCACACACGGCGCAGTGGGGCACAGCGCGGCATTCCGCCGCCTTGTGACCCGCTATCCCGCACCGGTAGCACAGCTGGCTACGGGCCATGCCCGACGGGCATCTCTGGGCGGTGTGCCCCTTTCTCATACACCTGTAACAGTGCATGGGGCGGGCATCAAGGACTCGCACCCTCGCGAGACTCCAGCCCACCTTGAGTGTCCCCTCCAGGACCACCTTTTTGGCGGGCCCTACTTGGCATCGAACCACCACGAATCTAGCGCCACCCGGCCCAGGTCGAATCTCCCCGACCGTCACCTTATTGGCGGTGCAGCCTTTGCCTGCCATCGCCTCCAGCAACTTCGCCCTGGTGACGGAGTCGTCCAGGCCGGAAACCCGTCCTGCCGACCTCTGCGTACTCCGCAATAGTTTCCGCCAGTTTCGCCGCGAGAGCGTCTGCCTTCTCCGATCTATTCGGCCTATGTACCAACAAGAGCCTGGGCCCAGTCTGGCTGGTCTTCTCCAGGAGGCCTTCCTCGATCGTGAGTGCGAACGGAGAGGAGCATACGGCAAAACTTATAGCTATCCCCCTTCTAGACTCCGCCTGTCTTAGTGTAAAGAACAACGTATGTACAAGAACGCACGATCAAATATATAGAAATCCTACATATACTTAGGATTAACCATACCTCATGCGCACGCGCCACTATTGCTTCAATATCTCCTTTGAGTTATAACATCCTATAACAATGGAGCGCTCGGCCGACATGTCAGTTTGCGAAATTGACACTAGGAGTACTACAGAAATTGAAACTATCCTACCGAATTTTGTTACGATGCGATCTAAGAATGTTAGTGCGGATGACATCTGTACCTTTAAGGAGGAGATTAAAACTATGAAAACTCAATTATGGTCAGCACAACAACAAAAATTAAATTGATTCCATCTACGCTGAAGGAGATTAACCAAAGCTATTTTAATATTGAGAACTCCATCGCATTACTAACTTCACAAAAAGAAGAGTTGAGTAAAAATGTTTCTCAGTTAGAGAGAAAATAAAGTGAAACGAGACGGAGATTACATAACCTTACTAGAAGAAAAAATAGAGAATTTACAGATAGGAACCCGTAAGTCAAAATTAGAAATGAAAAACGTGCCTCGAAAACCTAGCGAAACGAAAAAGGACTGAGTCGACATAGTTCTGCGTTTGTCCTCTTCCGTGGGAGGTGCACTAACCAAAGTTGATCAAGGAAGCCTATAGGATTCGAGGTTAATAGAAGGACACTAAGAATACCCCGATTGTAGTCGAAACCGCATCGACTCTCATCAAAACTGATATCCTGAAATTATGCAAAGTATTTAATACTACAAAGAAAAATAAACTATGTGGTAAGCACCTAGGACTTCAGATTTCTGAAGACGCCCCTGAAGGGTGCGCGGCTTCACCTCCTGGCTAGAGACCTCGTAAAGGCAAGTATAGTATAGTAACAATGTAAGGAATATACAAGTTCTGTTGGACAGCATACGGACGAGTGTACATACGAAAAACTGAAGACTCTCAAATCATTTCTATCAAGTCTGAGGCCGAAGTTCATCAGCTCTTTAAAGACAAACGACTATTCTGTGAACAGTGTTTTTGTTTAGCTTTATTAGGGATATTAATCCAAATCGCTTAAATGATATTATCTTTTTAATTATTCATTGTTTTGTCTTTTTGTTGATTCGTATTGTGTTTTTACTAACTTCTTATTAATGTATATTTTTCTAATTCCTATTCAGTATATACTAACTTTACATACACATCTACTAATAGCTCGATTTGTAATGATTGTACATCACCAAACTGAAATATTCCTTATCATAAATTACAAATGTAAAATGTTGCTTATTTAGTTATACTTTATTGCAAAAAAAACAGCTAATGGCGGACATAATGCCATAAGGTATTCTCTACCAGTCGACCAGTAAAAGCGTGAGAAATAAAAATACGGGGGTGCAATAAGGACATATGCTAAATAAACCAGGTAGGTAATATATATATCAATAGAATACACAAAGAGTAAGATCCTTTTACACGTGGTCAATAGACGTCTAAGCTACTTTCTAAGCTGGCAGATACCCGAAGAGCAGGCTGGCTTTGTTAAAGGCAGGGGAACACGGGAACAAATACTGAATGTCCGCCAAATTATCGAGAGGAGCAGGGAATTCAACTGTCCCCTCGTCCTATGCTTTATTGATTACACCAAGGCCTTTGACTGCGTAAAATGGGATAAACTGTGGAATGTGCTACTTGAAATGGGAGCTCCTAAACACCTAGTTGCCTTAATTCAGAATCTATATACACAAAACCGGTCGTTCATCAGAATAGGTATGGACTACTCTAATATGTTCCACACTAAAAAAGGAGTGGGACAGGGTTGCATATTGTCTCCCGCCCTTTTCAACATATATGGAGAGTATATTATTCGAAAAACTATAGAAAACTGGGAGAAGGGTTTTCCCATAGGTGGAAAGAGACTATCAAAACTCCGATACGCTGACGACACAATTCTTCTGGCAACATCCATGGAAGATATGTGTGAGCTTTTCCAAAGACTCGAGTTAGAGAGTGGCAACATCGGTCTCACAGTGAATAGAGCAAAAACGAAAATCATGATAGTTGATAGAGCCGGAAAGTTAACAAATGTCAACAGTAACATTCCTGGCATTAATAACGTCGACCACTACATATATTTGGGCTCCCAAATCAACAATGATGGCAGCTGCGTTCCCGAGATAAAAAGGAGAATCGGTATGGCTAAAGATGCTATGTCCCGACTAAACAACATTTGGAAGAAAAGAGGAATCAGTATCAAAACCAAGATCAGACTGATACGAGCCCTGGTATTCCCTATCTTCTTATATGGAGTTGAATCGTGGGCAATTTTAGCCCGAGAAAGACAAAGGATTGATGCATTCGAGATGTGGTGCTGGAGGCGAATGCTGAGAATTTCTTGGAACGCGAAACGCACCAATGCATCGATTTTAAGTCAGCTCCGTATAAATACTCGTTTGTCCACTGTATGCCGACAACGCATCCTATCATACTTCGGCCACACAATGCGCAGGGATGACGGCAATTTGGAAAAATTGATTGTTGTTGGGAACACCGAAGGCAAACGATCGCGCGGTCGTTCACCAACTAGATGGACAGATCAAATAAAAGAAACGTCGTCGTCCAAATTTTATACGGTTGTGAGAGACGCGCTGGACAGAAACCGGTGGAGGCAGATCATCCATTCCAGATGCAACTAGCATGCTGACCACGATCCTCGGTCATGAGGGACCGACCAGAGAGAGAGAGAATACACAAATATTAAAATATATATACAATACATACATCTAAATATTAAAATATATACACAGTCAGGTCATAAGTATTGTAACACAGTAAAAACTTTTCTTTTAGAATGCTGGCCACAAAAAAGTTTATTGAATTCGAATTTCGAATTGTTCACGAAAATAAAAATGAATACTTTTTAGAATTTTACTCATTCTTAAATATGGAGTGGACGCCTAAAGAAGACCATGTTGCAGTTATTGCATTGCATCGTTGCGGTTACGCGTCAATTCAAATTTTTGACATACTGAAAATTTTGATTATAACCAAAAGATTTGTTTATCGTACCATTAAACGATAAAATGAAGACACTAGTGTAGATGACAGGTCAAGAAGTGGTCGCCCTCGGTCTGTTAGGACTCCAGCAGTGATAAAAGCTGTGAAGGCGCGAAGTCAAAGAAATCCCAAACGTAAACAGTTGGCCCTTCAGATGGGGTTAAGCAGAAACACGGTGAAAAGGTTAAATGAAGACTTAGGGCTTCGGGCATATCGAAGAAAAACAGGACATCGTTTGAATGCTCGTCTAATGGACCTGAGACTGAAGAAATGCCGCGCTTTGTTAAAGTGGTACGCGGGGAAAAAATATCGGGAAATTCTTTTTTCGGATGAAAAAAATTTTTACCGTAGAAGAGAGCTACAACAAATAAAATGATAAGGTGTACGCACACAGTAGTGAAGAAGCGAGCAACCGTATTCCGCGTGTCCAACAAGGTCATTTTCCATCCTCGCTCATGGTATGGTTGGGAGTTTCTTATTGGGGCTTAACAGAGGTACATTTTGGTGAAAAAGGTGTAAAAACGAATGCAGTTGTGTGTCAAAATACAGTCCTGACGAACCTTGTGGAACCTGTTTCTCATACCATGTTGTATGTTCAATAACAAGCACTGGGTATTCCAAAAAGATTCGGCGCCAGCTCATAGAGCGAAGAGCACACAAGACTGGATGGCGGCGCGTGAAAACGACTTCATCCGGCACGAAGACTGGCCCTCCTCCAGTCCAGATTTGAGTCCGTTAGATTACAAAATATGGCAACACTTGGAGGAAAAGGCGTGCTCAAAGCCTCATCCCAATTTGGAGTCACTCAAGACATCCTTGATTAAGGCAGACCTTGTTCGTGCTGCGATAGACGACTGGCCGCGCAGATTGAAGGCCTGTATTCAAAATCACGGAGGTCATTTTGAATAAACTTTATTGTCATAAGAATCTATCAGTTCATTTTGGTTTATAAATGGTTTACATAATGAATAAACTTGTTTCAATTATTTTATATTAAACATGTGACATAATTTATGACTTGACTAGGTATATAATACATACATCTAAATATATATGCTATATCTGGAATACATACATAAACATACATAAACATACACATAAATATGCCAGTCAAATATGAGAACGCAGATTAATTATATTAAGATAATGCTCACGAACCAATCCCTTAAATACAAGTTTGTTAGGAGCTTTACGTACATTAGGGGGCAAGTCATTCCAGAGTCGTACAGCCGTGATAGTAAAAGAATATGAGACGAAGCCAGCAGAGTGGACGAGAGTATCCAGAAGGAGGTTGTCCGTTAAACGGAGGACACGGTCATGAGAATCACACAGAAACCTAAATCTGCTTTTCAGGTAAGCTGGTGTATGTGGATCGTACGTAAAGAAAATTAAAAAGAGCACAAACAACTCTAGGGTTCCTACGCTCACGAATAGAAAGCCATTTGAGTTGATGACGAAAATGTGAGATATGGTCGTATTTACGTAAGCCATATATGAAGCGAATGCAGTTATTGAGAAGACGATTCAACTTATTTAAAAGATTTTCATTAATATCTGGATAAAAATAAGTTTTAATTTTTTTTACTGAATAGCCTTTTTCTCTCTAATTAAGAATTTAACGTCCGACATTTTTGGCCGATATGTTTTGTTTTGTAGTGCGAACAGAATCAGCTACTAAAAATTTTTTTTTTTCAGTCACTTAAGTTGTCCTTTACTGTTTATCTCTCTCTCTTATTCATTCTCATTAATTTTAACCCTGACCTTGTTATTTTAATCGAATGTTGGATCAATTAGAACAAACCTGTTCCCGTCTTACATAATTGTGTTTCGTATTTTAGTACCCGCTACCTTAACCAAAATGATGGTGTTACTATCTATACTGAAAATGACTTGTTGGTTAATGTAACGGAAATAATCATTCACGATGCATCATGTCTGCAAATTGAGACTAGCTCACATATTGCCTTGGCTTCATACAGATCACCCTCGAGTACTAATGCAGAAAGATTTATTGACTCGTTTAATTCTCACCTCAATTCAATTGAATAACATAAATGCATAATAATAGTAGGAGACATAAACATAAATCTAATTCATATTCCAAATGAACAAAACTATGTGAGAAAGAGATCGACAAGATTATCATAACATGTTGAGTACCCATAGTATTATGAGTGGCCACGGTCTTCCTACAACATATAGTAGTTGTCTAGACCATATAATACTAAAGCTCGATAAATGTAGGATGTGCGCCCGTGTACTTACTACCGCGTACTTAATACTTCTATTACAGATCACTTATGATTTTCCTACATCTAACTAACTTAAACATAAGATCGAAAACACAGAATTTTGCATTACTTACGGACTATGACGGAGCAGTTGCCAGTCTTCTGTGTGGAAAACAAACCGACCTGCTTCTTTGTGATGCACCCGGAGATCATAACAGACCGTCTTTTCTTTCTTTTGAATGTAACAGAAAGTAGACCTTAGGATATTTTATTCAGGTTAACATTATTTTATTATAAAATAGCAATAGGCATTCCCATTACCGTTAGGTATGTAAGTACCTTGCGCGATATAAATCTATAGTGTAGGATGGATTAACGCAGTTTCGCTACCTACCGCGGTTGATCACGTCGCTCTCCTAAAGGATCGCAATATTAATATTAATCGCAATGCAAATAAGAGCTGTGTTATAAGGTAATCAGCATATATATTAATTTATGCATACGAATACAAGGAGGTTAATGTTAAAGTGTCATTAAAATCAAAAAGATACTAGGCGTTTCGAGACCTTATTGTAATGCGAATGTTGTAAACAGATTTCAAGGAAATGTGTTTCTAATCTAACCACTGGACTTTACCTGTGATAATAATATTTTTTTTAAATATTGGTGGAAAAACAAATTCAAGTTGTAATAGTTACTTTAAGAACAACATCACATATCCAAAACTTACTCATGTAAAAATGGATTGATATTTGGTAAATTTAATGATTTTGTGAAAATAAACAACTCGCTTAGCTGAAAAAAATTATATTTTATGAGAAATTATAATTTACAATATTTCATACAGGCATCCATCTTCAGTCGGAACTTAAGCTAAAATTCTCACAATCTCACGCAAAAGGTAAAGCAACGTTAGACTATAATATAGTTATAGCAATATTTTTGTAGTCATCGCCCAACCGTAAAAATAAACAGGTAAGAACCACACCAGTACATGAATTTCAGTCCATTCGTAAGGAAGATACGGCGGCGGTTTAGGTAGTTGCGTGCGCGCACTCGATTGTTTTACCAACGAATAATCACACACGCAAGTAATATGCCACCCGAATTACTTATACAAGCTAAATATCGACGTTATCACTCACATCGTCTCACTTGCTTTGCCACATTGCGATTGCAAATTTTATACCTTCGAAAAGTTCACACTACTCTACCCCTACTCACCAATATAATAAGAATCATTGTGCTTTGTTTACTTTTGTTCACAGCTATTTATACCGATTCCGCGGCCGGGCGACAAGGCAGTAGTCGACGGCATAAAATCAGTCTGACAGAGAGGAATATCACCCAATGACAAAGTTTCACACTTCGCGCCAAGGAAAATGTATCTCTATCTGTATGAAGTTAGAGTGCACGCACGCAAGTTGCCTCCTTACGCCGCCTTGTCTCGCGCGGCTCGTAGGCCCACCCCGGGCCTCGATAATTCACAATATTGCTGTACAAATTGCACAAAAAGAAATATAGTTTCTATGTACAGGGCATACACAGAGATTGCACTTTAGTGGGTAACATCAATAGAAAGTTCCAATATTGTGCGCTAAGTTTCAACTTCACAATATTTTGAGCATTTCAGACAGCTGTATATATTTAAAGCATACAGTTTTGCTATTGACAGTGTCAGATGTCACGGTGCGCTTAGACATTGATGTAATCGATATGCTTACGATGTATAAAATAAAGACAACGAATAAGTTAATATTTATGTTACATCTCAAAATAGAAACTTTGTTTCTTACTATACATAAATAACTAAAGTAACACAACACAACACACTAAATTAAGCATAATATAATGAAATTTCTATAAAATATGGAAAACATTTATATAATTATTTTTATACTTTGTGCTTTACGTTACGAATATAAAAGGGTGCCAATAGCAAAACTTGGCATTGAACTGTCGGCTCAATTCACTCAGCACATTTAGACCCAAATGTACAATATATTACATTCATGTGGTAAGCTTTCGTGCATAAAACATTGGTTTCGGTTTTTACAATTCACATCTTTATTGGTATCCCTCGGGTTTCTAGTAAAAAAAGTTTATATCAAATGCATCAAAAATGTCCTTAAACAACTAACGTAGTTAACTCCCTATACGTATTTCGAATACGGCTAGCTGATTGGAATTTTCGTACACGGATATCGTTAGGAAAAAACCAAATACACCAGACCATCGCATACATAAAGCTTACAGTAAACATAAATCATTTGCTTGAAGTCAATTCGTGTAGAAAAACACCATATTTAAATATAAACAGCTTAAATAATAAAATTCCAATGTACAAAAGTAACGTAATCTTTACAAATACATTAATAATAAATATATAAATCTTCCAAGCTAACAGAACAAATGGTAATGATATATATTAAGTTTATGTTGATATCTGTAAATAGATAGACAGCGGATGAGACAGTGCGTCTCTTTCGCTCACGTGGTGCGACAATATCGCTGTCTCACTCTACCACCGGAGGCGTAGCCGCCGGCCCCCACTTGAGACCGACAGCTCGATAAATACGCACAAGTTCATTGGACTAGTTTGTTCAAATCCGTCTGGACATAATAAAATGTATACTAATGTAGAAAGATATTATGGCAACAAACTTTACAAAAATCCTAAAACAATGACTAAAAGCAGCTCATGGTAAGGCCAAGACTCACCATAACTTTAAAATGCACAATTTAATATTCACCGATACAGACACATACATAAATTGTGAATAACTTCATCATAAAAAAACATGTCAAAAAACCAGTCGCGTGTTTCGCGAACCGTCCGAAGTGCGGACTAGAGCGAGCGGAGTCCGCGGGCCGAGACCCGAACCTAGTTTTTGGGTTAAATGACTTACAATCTATCCTTAATTTCTCATTAAACATTTTAAGGTGAATAAGTTCGTCCGTCCGATCTCAGTTCGTGAATTTACACATTCTGTCGTGAAGTGATGATGTTTAAATTATGTGTTTTACACAATCACAGATTTGTGTCAGTGACCAGGATGCGTTCGCTTAGACGAGATTGTACTCCTTTAGGTTGGACTGTAGGATTGTGTCTTTTACAGCGGCGAACACAAATCTGATGTTTTCAGTGTCTGAAATGTGAAAAAACATAGGTTATATTATGTAGTTAAAAATTTCCTCTGCACAAACTGGCACATTTCTCAGGATATTACTGTATTTATGAAAGTAACTCCATCTTTGTTTCCCATTTGCCCCATCCGAGCTTACAACCAGCGTGGTTAGCACTAACTACGTGGCGTTTACCACACCTTGTCAATGGCACTTATTTAGTATAATACTCCCGTTACAAAGTAAGGATTATTACTTACTGGATACTACCAATAGTAATTGATATAAAACATCGCTGGATATATAATGGCACTTTAATTTTGAATATTGTTTGCATATAAAGGAAACATTAGCAGAATGAACCATTTACTAGCAACTTTTGTTATCTTCCAGAGTCAGATTCTGGCTAAATAGATTTAGAATCTGTCGGCAATATCAGTAAAGGGTTTCTGTAAAATAAAATCTCCCTTCCAAGTTCGATAGCTCCAATTTTAGACCATTATAAATCTTAGGATTTTACTTTATCAATTTCTATTGACAATGGCCAGTACGCGTAGAAATTCATCCTTCTTAGTTAGACAATTCATTAATTAAGATTATTTAGTCAACGGCACTTATTAAGATTACTACCTTCATGATAGTACAAGAAGGGGATAATATAAATAAGTAGCATTGACCACCAGGATGGTGAACTGAACCTAGTTAATGCCAGCTGCTACCCCAGTAGATAGCTTAATCGGGCAGATGGGAACAAAGGATATTTTTAATATTGGTTCAGTATAATGAGGGCTACCGGTTTCTGTCTCACCAGAGGCGCAACTGTTGAGTGAGGTCCTGAATTGTAACTTGTAAAGTTTATTAATACGCGCATGAAATCAAAGTTTACTTTTAAAATCATATTGTAATACAAAAGTATCGTGTCCTAAACATAATCGGCCATGCCACAGTCAAGCGCAGTTCCGTTTTGTTCGAAAAAAAAAAGGTCATAATATTTTTTCTTCTTTTAAATAACTGACATTTATTGCCACGTAACTCATATTTGCCATAATTAAGCAGAGTTATTACCAAATATTCACAATATTATTTTAATTAGAAATAAACTCGCGTAGTTAACCCACAAGCAATAACATTTGACATTTCGGAAACCTCATGCTACACTAGCGCCTCTAGCGGCGGATTCATACGCGATAGCCCTCATTAACATGTTAACCAAAATGTAATTTGAGAACAATTTGTATAGCTATTTTATAATATAAAAAATAATACAACTAATAATTTTCTTATTTCAACTCCTTTCAATATAACTTTCAATTCAAAATTTTAATTCAAACTTCCAGATTTTATAAACTGCAATCGAGATTTAAGTGTGTGCATTTCTTTAAAAGGTTTTTTGGGAAGAGCTGCAATTTGAGAATTAGATAAGTCTCCGCTTTAACCTAGTGTTGTGTGTAGAAATACTAGAAATGTATAGAACTCTTTCATGAAATGTATTTAATATAGATAACTATAGATTTTCTGACGCTTTTAACTTTGTCAGTAGAAATGCGGTCATCGCTTTTTCATAAAAGACAAATCACATCATGCCAACATCAATTAGGACTTCTTCCTACTAGTTTGAGCACCACGATATGATTTTATTTCAAAGTACTATGGAGTTTAAGGGCCGATTCACACCGAAAAGGCAGCGGCCGGCGGCGACGCGACGAGCACTTTCACATTGACAGCAGAGTGAAATTATTTTAAACCTTATCTACATATGTACTGAAAACATTAATATCGCTAGAAAAATTCGAAGCAGTCGCAGGTCGGACCGCCCGCTTGCGACACCGCTAACCTTTTCAAGCGATACTGGTCATTGAAGTATGAAGATAAGGTTTTAAATTAGTTCACATTGCTTTCAGTGTAAAAGTGCTCACTAAATTAGCCCTAACAGTTATAATAAGCTGTCAACTAATCGCAGACTGCCGCCGAAAGGTGGTGACGGCTGCAGTTACCTGTTCGCTTACGGCTGCGAGCCGGTCGCATATATGAATCCCAAGGCGCCACCTGGCGATGTTATTGCGACAATAAACAGTTTCCGTTTTTTATTGATTTTGGTTCCAGCCCGTATACCAGTGTAAATATTGCTTCGGGTACCCGAATTCGAGTTATGTCTTTCGTGCACTCGAATACGGGCTAACGACTGAGTGTAATTGAGCCATTAGACGAGTGCGCAAAACCTCAGCATATCGATGCTCGCCCATCGCTTAATGCCGCATAAATGCGGTGCGGCATAGAGAATGGACTGAGCGACACTTTTTGTAAATTGACTACTCTCTAAAAAGAACTGCCATATCGTTTTATCACTGACACACTTATCTGCCTAATTTTAGTTATCGTGGTTAGGGAATGCGCAGTCTATGGGTGCGGACGACACTAACTTACATAGCTTTTATCGTGAACTTCGTTGTGTCGTGTCCTACTCTGAACACGGCACGACGAAGTTGACGATACAAAGAATGTTGATTTCAAGAGAACGATCTCAGAATAAACGAGATCGCGCATTTGCGTTTATTAAGAACGCTGTTCACGCATTTCCTAATTAACACATATCTTGCGTTCACAATATTAATTTATAAGATAATATTCTTGATATTATATAGAGTAATGGCAGCGAGGAGAACTTGTATTTACTTTATTGATCTTTAAGTCCTGATGAGAAAAATAAATTTTCACCTAAGAGCTCGTTCATAGCTTTTTAGAACATAAATTGATATTTAGTTCTATTGCAAATGACAATTATAAGTTCAATTATTATTCCGCCTTTATATCAACCTATATTAATCATGAGAAATCAGAGCAAGGTTTTTTCTTATACATCTGACGACATCAACTAAAGTCACTAGCATGATATTTATTTAAGATACCTAGCTGTTTAAATTTTAGTGTGTCTCACTGGTCTTTTCCCCAAGTGATACATCAGCCTGGACTTCGAAATCGGAATTATATGCTAGAGAACCTTAAACGGGGATGGCAAGTTGAAAAAATTGCTTAAGAATTCATAAAAACCCATTCTAATGTTTCGGTGTGCTTGAGCAAACAACACCAGTACTTTCACATATTTTCTTAAGTTTTTACAGCTCTTTTTTAAATTAAACACTTTTTACTGCATTTAAAATGCGTTTTTAAATACTTTTGTACATATATCTACATTTCGCATCCTTTACAGGCTGCGTTCTCAAGAGTATGATTATTTATTGAGCTGCCTTCGCAAACCTTTACTGTACGGATACTTCGTAAAAAAATATTGATTTTTTTTATTGTCTATGTACAGGAATATTAATTTATTAGCTAATTTAAACAATAAACTATTTGATTTAATTTTCTGTTTTATTAATTTAATCCTAACTACCGTAACTAGCACCAGTTCCAAAATTAGGAGACCTAGAGAAACAAACTCAAGACAGGCTTTTTGTCTTCTCCTTTTGCTAAATTGTGAAAGCATTGTATATTTTATTGACATCATCATTATCAGTCTATTAATCTCCCCACTGTTGGGGCTCAGGCCTTCCCTGTGGATGGAATAGGGAGATTGGGCCATGACCCACTACGCGGGCCTGGTGTGGATTGGCGGGTGCTAACAACTGCAGATGCAGCCGGGACCAACGGCTTAACGTGCCTTCTGAAGCATGGAGGAACTCGAGATAGAAGATTTTTTTGTCACCCATCCAATGACCGATTACTGCGAAAGTTGGTTATTGTTTATTTAACTCTGACATTCATAAATTTGTAGATATAAGTAATTCGTTTTTCCTATCTATTTCTTTTTTTATGTTATAGGGGGCATACGAGCAGACGGCTCACCTGATGGTAAGTGATCACCGTCGCCCATGGACACTTGCAACACCAGGAGTATCACAAATGCGATGCCGGCCTTTAAGGAAGGAGTACGCTCTTTTTTTGAAGGTTCTTGGGTCGTATTGGTCCGGAAACACTGCTGGCGACAACATATTCCACAGTTTTGTCGTACGTGGTAAAAAAGAAACTATTTGATTCGAAAATTGCGAAGATGACTTGTGCGATAATTATGATAAGAAGCAAGTAACATTATTGTAAATAGCAAGTAATCGTTCGTGACCTAGGTGCTGTCCGAGTGGAACACTGGAGCACGCGACCGATTATGAGGCCATGTGTTCACAGCCACTGCGAATTGGGTCGCGGCGAGCCGGTCACGGCCGCTTCGCCATTTTCCTGATTTGAATCGTGTTGCCCATTGGCAACGTCGTCATTACGAAACGGCTAAATTTGGTTACTATCCGCACTATCCTCGAGATAATAATTCGATTTTGACATAACGGTAGATGTTCTTTTATTAAAAAAATATTACAAATTTTCTGTAACAATTTTCATAATTATCGCCTCCTCGAGAAGCTGTAAAATATGTAAATAAACAGTAGTTCGTACCATTTGAATACAATAAAAAAACCTAATAATCTTTGACATCAAGAATCAAACTCAGTTATACAAAAAAGTTTTTGAAAATTACGAAAGAAAATGCTCAATGCCAAATGTAGAACCAAATATCTAATTTGAGTTCCTGTTTGTACCGCCATCAGTAGTGATTTATTGAAATCGTATTACCGATTTTTCATTTCAAGTATATACAGTCTGATTAATTATTATTTGACAATTTACAATTTGTGAGTATAGGGTTTTCTTCTTTATATATATTATAATATATTATTTATATATTTATTTATTTATATATTACAATGTATTATTCGCCATAAAATGTTTGTTTTCTTGTTTTTTTTTTAACCTTTTACTTATTAAGTCGTGCCCTAAATCTATCCACATCATATATTATCGAGATCTAGCAAGTATCTTACAACCCAGAAGCGGAGACGGTGGATTTCCTCAATCAATCATAATAACCCAGGGTAAAATAAATAAACAAGCAGTTAATATTAAAAATAAATGTTTAATGACGGCAACAACATGCAAATAAATGTTTCCTATTTATTTTCTAACATTATATCACTAG